TTTTTTTTTTTTTTTTTGGTAGCACATCTATGTATGCTATTAAATATAAATAATTTTCATTTAATTTCTAAAATATAAGACTGAAATGGAATGTTTCATTAACAGCTACATTTCATAAAGAGTTTTGTTAGTGTTTTTGCTTCAACACTTCGCAAGATGACATATTAGGCATCTGCCTTATTTTTGTATCTCGCAAGCCCCAACAGTCGGCTTTTTGAACTGCAAAGGCAGGATTCCTCGCTCCACAGCACAGTGAGTTCCGCCACACCTGTGATGTCACACCTCTGCCAGGTGCCTTCTTGATTGTGTGTAGCATGCCCACCACCTGTGTCCTTCAGATGTCTGACCAGCAGGGCTCTCTGGGTTCCTTCTGACAGTCGTCTAACAACATCGTCTCAGTGGCTCCGAGTGTGAACGGATCCAGCAGAGGCACTCTGAGACACCTCTTACCCATGCATTGATTTTCCCCGCCCAAGACAGCATCCTAAAAATAAAGGCCAGAAGCTAAGCCGCAGAGAGGCAGGGCCATGACAGGGCCATAAAGATGGGAGCACTGGGACCTGATATTAGACACGAGGAAAATCATTTAACCGCGCAAAAAGGCAAAAAGCATGTGTTTGTGACATCTGACAACTTCCTGGCCCTTGATAGCTGTATATATGTATATGTGCATGGACTGTGTTTCCAGGACACCTTTTGGCCAAAACAGATCCACAGTCGTCGAGTTCAAGTGCGTAACAAGCAAGTGTCTAGTGCAGTTCTTGTATATGTGTGTGGGTTGTTTTCTTCTGTGAATTTGCTTTGTTTTGTCTTATAAAGGTGAAAATTGTTTGCAAGTGAAGTGAGAAGTTCATAATTCTTCGGCTTTTTTTCTGTTTTTAAAAGTTACTCCTTTTGGGAAGCTGGTCTGGCTGACTCGCTTAACTTGGAAATCCTTGTTTTCAATGTGTCAAGTCAAAATGTGTTTGTGTGAACTGTGACTAGGGAACCAGTGGCTTTGTCATGTAGCTGGTTGTGAACTGGTGACGTGTTGGGAAGTCCTACTGCTGCTCCTTATTGGGAGAAGAGTTCTGCTGGCTCTAACAGCTGTGCTTTTGCTATGCCTGGTACCCAATCAGCGGGAAGCAGGCCCTGATACCTGAGCTCAGGGTCACTTGAGAAAGTGGCAGTTTAAAGCACAACGCCTCACATGGGACAAAGTTCCAAAATGCCAAATTCTTATTTTTTAAACATCTAGTTATATAAAATACTAGTATGCATAGGGAGGGAACAGAATTGGGTTCATTGGAAACACTATCCAACCTAACATTAACCTTGTCGCCATGAGATAGCATTAGCTACCCAGGATGCTGCTATTGAAAAAAAAACAAAAAAAAACCCCTGAAAAATTCATTTGTATGTGTGTATTTTTTAAAGCTACAATCTGCTCAATGTTTTTACAAGTCTGTTTATATGACCTTGGTAGAATACAGTTGGTCTTTCGACGAGAGGGAGGATGTGACGGGCTGCTGTCGTTCTGCCTCGACACGGCAGTGGGTGGGGCGGGGGAGCGTGCCTCCTTGACACTTGGTTCAAGCTATAGACTTAATGGAGCTATGTCTTGTTGTTTTAAGTTGCTTTAATGCATTGTATTAGGTCTTCAAACAGAATAAAGGTTGTTTTGAAACTTAAGTGATGGTTTGAAATTTCAATTATCGCCTAAGACATATTTCTGAAACCACTCTCTTGCTCTTTTGGTTAATGAAAGTTGCTGCCTCTATAGTCTCCCCCCCCCCC